GATGGGTTCATCTACGTTGCAAATGCTGAAGCTCATAAAAGTAAGCATTCTCTTATTTTCTTTTTTAAAACACTACTGTAGTGTACTAGTGTACTAGTGTAGTGTACATGGCTGTTTCTGGAAGTAAATATTTTGACCTCAGTTTCTACTGCTCTTCTACATAAAATAGCTAGCATTAAATCTGAAAATTGTAAGACAAAAAAAATCAAAATGAAATGACACATTGATAAGAGACAAGATAGTTGAACTAGACTCAGATGGTCTGGATATTGGCCCTCACAGAAAGGGACATTAAAATAACTATGATTCATATATTAAAAAGATCTAGTGGAAAAGGTGGACAATATGTGTGAACAGATAAGATTTTTAGCAGAGAGAAGGAAGTTATTTTGAAAAAGTAAAATGAGTATGCTAGATATGAAACTATGACAAGTGAACACTTCCTTCAGTGGGCTTATTGGCAAAGGAAAGAATCAGTGAACCTGAAGATAAGTCACTACAAATTATCCAGATTAAAACACAAAGATAAAAAGAGTGAGGGTGAGGAACAGAGCACCCAAGAATTGATGAAACTAATCAATGATCTAACTCAGCAGTCAGCAAACTCAACTCTTAAAAGCACACATAATAAATACTTTAGCCTTATGAGCCATACGGTTTTTCACAATTACCGAGCTCTGCTGTTATATTAGGAAAGCAGCCATAGACAATATGTAATTGAATGGGTGTGGCTGTTTTCCCATATGAATGTATTCACAAAAATAGATTCACAGAATGTAGTATGGCAAACCCTGGTCTAACATGTCTGTATAATTGGAGTTCCAAAACATGAAGCGGAAAAAAAAAAGGAAAAAGAAATTTTTGAACAGATAATGGCCAAAATTATTTCAAAATTACTGAAAGACGACAAACTACAGATCTAAGATACTATAGAACTACAAGCCTGATAATTATAAAGAAAAATACATCTAGGCACATCATAGTCAAACCAATGAAAACCAAAGATAAAGAGAATACCTTGAAGGCAGCCAGAAAAAAGAAAACATAAAAGACCAAAGATAAAAATGACGGCAAACTT